GTAGTGGTAGTAGTGGTAGTAGTGGTAGTAGTGGTAGTAGTGGTAGTGGTAGTAGTAGTAGTAGTAGTAGCAGTAGCAGTAGCAGTAGCAGTAGCAGTAGGAGTAGCAGTAGTAGTAGTAGTGGTAGTAGTAGTAGTGGTAGTAGTAGTAGTAGTCCTAGTAGTAGTAGTAGTAGTAGTAGTAGTAGTAGTAGTAGTAGTTGGAGCAGGAGTGGGAGTAGGAGAGTAGGAGTGGGAGTTGGAATAGGAGTAGGAGTATGAGTAGGGGTTGGAGTTGGAGTAGGAGTGATTAGGAGTAGGCGTAGTACTGGTCTTAGTACTACTGCTAGTAGCAGTATTAGTAGGTTGTGTTTGTGTCTGCGTATTGCATGTTGTGTGTTTGTGGTTGTAGGTTGTAAGGTTGTGTTGGTGGTAGCTTATAACGGTTGTGTGTTTGTGTCTTGTGTGTTGTGGTTGTGTGTTTGTATTAGTTTTTGTTGGCTGTACATTGCGTGTTGTGTGTTTGTGGTTGTGTGATATTGGTTGTGTATTGCGTGTTGTGTGGTTGTGGTTGTGTGTTTGTGATCGTGTTTGTCGTTGTGCGTTGTTGGTTATGTGTTTGTGGTTGTGTGTTGCGTTTTGTTGGTTGTGTGTTTGCGATTGTGTTTGCGGTTGTGTGTTTGTGGTTTGTGTGTTTGTGATTGTGTGTTTGTGGTTGTGATGCTTGTGGTTTGTCTGTTTGTGGTTGTGGGTTTGCGTTGTGTTTTGTTGGTTGTGTATTTCTTTGCGTGTTTGTGGTTATGTTGTGTGGTTGTGTGTTGTGTGTTGAGGTCCGGTACTGCCCGCTGTGATTTGGCGCTTGCTGTTGAGGTCCGGGGATCGGAAGGACGAAGGAGGGAAGGACGGGAGGAGAAAATTATGTTGAACATGTAAGAACTTTCACCTGCCAGGTGGGGAAAACCTATTATTTTCGAGTGCAGAGAAACACTTTTTGTCACGCATGTGGTGGAGTTAATGACCGGACGAGATCAAAGCCAAGAGTGACTCATCAGGTGCCCGCTCAATCGAAGCAAGGGGTTGGCGCATCACATCGATTCTGGCATGATGTGGACAGGCGGGCCACTACCCCACCCGTGCAGTTAAAGGGGTGAGCTAGGGTATGACAATTCCAACATACCCCAGCCCAGCAAACATCGAAACGAAAAACTGGCCCAACTTAGGTTGAACACTTTGGCGTATATGCTGAATTTGGCAGATGAGTTCACTGTTGAGATTGGTGAGGACGGCTGCAACAAGACAGAGGTGAACATGCAGAACAAAGTCATCAAAGTGACGAGTTGGAACAGGGGAGGCACCAGGATGGCGCTTGTGACGTTGATCAGTTTGATCACCGAGCTGATGAAATGAACCCTTCAACTGAACACGCATGGCTCGACTGCGATTACGCCATGTTGAGCATGTTTGTGCTTAACGTGATGGCCAGTTGAGAGTGGCGGAAATTATTTCGGTGGATGCATAGTGTGCCCCGCTCGAACTCGAACTCGAACTCGAACTCGAACTGAAACAGTTATACAGTATTGATGAACTTAACCTTGAAAGGATATATGGAAGGAACCGAACTCGAACTCGATCTCGAACTCGAACTCGAACTCGAACTGGAACTGTTAGAAGTCAACCCAGTGGACGAATAGAAAGAGTCGAACTCCAAAATCGCTGTCGTCGATTCGAATTCGAACTCGAACTCGAACTGGTCCCCCCCCGGGGTGTAAAAATTATCGTCGATTCGAAGTCGAATTCGAACTAATGCTGCGTTGTAATGGCTCCTTCCTATTCTAAATTTCACCTTCGAATGGCCCACAACAGGAATTCTACGTTGTAAAATAATGGCTCCTTCCGGCTGTAAATTTTACCCTCGTCGGGTGGCCCACAAAAGGCATGCTACGTTGCAATGGCTTCTTCCTTGTCTAAATTTTACTTTCGAATGGCCCATCAAAGGAATGCTACGATGTAAATCGTTGTAATGGCTCCTTCCTATTCTAATATTTATCCTCGGATGGCCGACAAAAGGGATGCTACGTTGTGGTCAGTTGGTTGGTTGCCGCTGTTGGTTGGTTGGTTAGCAGGGGTTTTGCGGCAGGGAGTTCACACTAAAATGTTGATTTCGTGGCAGGCGCGGGTTTTGGAGAGGAAGTGCAGATTTCGTGGCGCGGGGGGGGTTGGCGGGGGCGCAGCGCCCCCCCCAGCAGCACACCAGATCCTAATAAAACAAGTGTTGGCTGCAAAGATGAGACTGCGCAGCGCGGATACTTTCAACAGGTTGATTGCTTTGTTGCTAGCTTGGTTGGTTCCTGTTCTTCTTCTGTGTTGTGGGTCGTGGCGATTGCGGTTGTGGTTGTTGTCGTTGCTGTTGGTTATCGTTGCTGTTGTTGTGGGTCGATCCGAACTCGAACTCGAACTGGTCCACCCCCCCTTATAAGTCCCTTAGTCGCCGATCCGAACTCGAACTCGAACTCGAACCGGTCCACCCCCCCCGGCTCGATAATTGCGTTGTCGATCCGAACTCGAACTCGAACTCGATCCGGTCCACCCCCCCCGGCTCGATAATTGTGTTGTCGATCCGAACTCGATCTCGAACTCGAACTGGTCCACCCCCCTCTCGCTCGATCCACGCAATCTCGCGCATCGAACTCGAACTTGAACTCGAACTGGAACGGGATCAGTTAGAACTACCTGGGGCACGGCCTGGGTGGATGACAGGGGAACAAAACGGACAACAGAAATCAATCGAAGGAAGATGGTGTGTGTCAGACAGAGGAGTCAGATGACCGGCTTTACCAACAAAGTGAAGAGTTCAGGAAAAAACGATCGGCTTGAAGAACGCTTTGAAGCGGAGAGCCACGCCAGGAAAGGCACGGAAAAATAACTGACATTTCAGAGATAGCAGAGCATAGTCTTGAGAAACGTCTACCAAGGTGTAAAAGGTTCAGAGGTGGACGAAGTCTCATGATGTGTACATTTTGCAGACGACATGACGGTCATGAAGGCAGCATGTCATGTCATCTAGATCATTCAGGAACTCAGTCATGACCACCAATGCACATTCGACCGGGTCGTGTGTTACTTTAAGTACTACGTACTAGGTGCTAAGTGCTTGTTGTTCGACCCTTGCTTGCCGAAGTATTTTTGCCGTCATGAACTCACCCGCGTGGAACTTTGGAGCACAAACTCGCTGAAAGACATGGCATTTGCGTGAATTGTACGGTGCGATGTGTGAAAGCAATCTGGGGCGGGCGCTCCGTGCAGAGAGGCTTTAGTTTTGTGGCCAAGGTGCGTCGCAGCGGACAACGTGACCGATTCACACTGCCGCAGCGAAACTGACCCAGAGAACCGGATTTGTTAAAGGTGTTTGCGTCGCCCCACCGTGTAATTGCCCAAAATCACAAAACCGTCGATTTTGCGTGATAGAGTTTGATGGATTTGAGGATGTGACTTAATTTTGTGCAATTTGTGTATGTCTGTTTTCATACCTCCAGTTTGTGAATTCACAACTGGCTGTAACTCTTTTGCGAAGGACAAGGATGGATTTGTCGAGGTTTTAGCTTTTGTTGTTTCCTCAACATGCGGTGTGTCAGCCATTTTTGTTTCACTTTCCAGGTGTTTATCCATTGCAACGTGTTTGATTGAGGGACAGCATCAGCCATGAGCTGCGTAGAATGTAAATGACAGTCGACGTATCACTTCCAGCTTTGTCCTCTCACCCGCTGTCCACCGATCTTCATGGCTGACGAAGTCCGTCCCTCAGGCTCAAGAGAATTGTATCGGCAGTGCCTCAGCAACGGCGAATGATGTGCTCGATACCTAACCTAATAGGAATGGCATCCAGCCTAGTAGCAACGGCCTCCAATCTACCGATGGCCTCCAACCTAGGAGGAATGGCCGCCAACCTTGATGCTTGTTTTTCTTCTCTGAGGATGAGGCGACTGCTCGACGCCGTCCGTGGCACTCAGTGTATCTTGTCCATTACCCAGTGCAGAAATGCAAGGATAAAACAACAATTTTGGAAGACAGACATTGTGTTTCTTCACAATTGCCCGTAAGTTTGTGATGAACAATTTTCATCCAAAGCATCTCATTGTGAATACATGTTTGCGAGTGCAATAATCAACGTCTATTTGCAAGGTCCTTGGGCAGGATGGGCATCCGAGAGGTTCTTATAGCATTTCGATTGTGCTTCAAGGCCAAAGAGCGTAGATGGACCTTGGTTTCCAAAGAGCCATACCCACAGCGTAGATGAATAAGCAGAACCCTTTGGCTCTTTGGAAGGAATTGCCCTTCGACTTAGTCTTCGAGGACTTGAGGCCTCAGGCAGCTTCTGTCCGATCTTGGAGTGTTGATTGTTTTTGACCGCGCACCACACACGTTTTCTGGCGGTGTGGGGTTGTCAGGTCCTTCAAACCTGCCTGGATGTGCTGGGAAGAAGCTTTCTTCGAAGTTGGCCTGGTGGGCCACAGGAGATGGAAGATTCCTTACGGAGAGGTGTGGAGGCGTGGGCAGATGCTGAAAAATGGCGCTAACAACACAAGATCAGATGGACAGACATTGATCAAGAGAAACTACATTTGGGTAGACCCTCCATCCCTACATGGTAGGGCCGGCTTGAATCCACAGGAATCTGGGGCTGGGCCTGTGGCACATGGTCTTCGACGTAGTCAAGCACAGGACATCCGAGCCAAAACATTGAAAGAACTCCTGAACATTTGCTTATATATATATATATATACATGAGAACCAACTAGAAGCTACTAGGAACAAGAAGCTACTAGGGGCTCCTAGCCATACCACTAGGAGCAAGGACGCTACTAGGGGCTCCTGGCATCGCTACTAGGAGCATTCTTTCAAGTCTTCTGATTGAAAGAAACGCACATAGGAACTCTCAGGGCGGCTGGCTCCATTCGTCGCCACGCAGGTGCAAAGGAGACATGGATGCTACGTATTCTTGCTACATTTGTACGAAGCTTCCACCTAGTAGCGTCCTTGCTACTAGTAATAAGGCCAGGAGCCCCTAATAGCGTCCTTGCTACTAGTAGTTTGTTTGTAGAACTGGTCGTTTCTTGGGTCACTTTCGATCCAAGGTCCTACCGCCTTCTTGAGTCATTGAGTGTAGTTTGTGGTACAGGTTTCGGTGAACAGGGCTGCAGCAGAGGCAACAGTGAGGTGGGTGACAAATGAGAAAGCAAGATGAACAATGGCCAGAAGGGGTGCAGAGTCCCACTTTTGTTTGCTTTTCTTGATAAACATTGTGATGGCAAGGGAAAGTGCACAGCCAATGTGGGGTACTCGGCACTTGGTGCTCCTGCAACTGGTGTGCTGTTTAAAGAGAGTCTCACTGAATGTTTGATTGACTTTGGGGTCAATCATGGAAATACATTTCAGCTTCAAGTTCAAGGCAACAACACACCTGTTCCAACACAAAAAGGAAGCAAACAGTTTTAGCTCATCAGCGACTCTGCTCTTTGTTCACTCGGAATGCCTAAGGCGAAGCTCTTTGATCGTCCGGGCCTCCAAGCTCGGAGTGAGCCGTCAGAGTCACGATGTTTGAAAGGTCAAAACTCGAAGGCGGAGAAAGACAGAATGGTCGAAGTCGTAAAGTCATAGTTGTTAAAGCTTGAAGCAAGGGGTAGTTCAGACGCGAAGAAAAGGCGACTCGTTCGAGCCAAGCGACGAGGCGACGTTGGTCTCTGCGGGTGATGGCGAGGCGAGCTATGGGGAGCTGGAGGGAGTGAAGAACAAAGAGAAAAAACAGATCCGAAAGGATTCTAATGGCAATGGCCTCCAAATGGGCTCCAACCTACTAGCGAAAGAAAGGAAAAATCAAGGTTTCTAAAGGGAAGAGAAAAGAAACAGATATCTGGAAAAGTAGAAAACAGCTTAGGCTTTCAGTGAAGTCGTTTTCGTATCCAGTCAGACAGTCTCCGGTTTGACCGCCCAGGAGATTGAAGTGGTATCACCGCAGGCTCGAAAGAGTGGCCGTTGACATTTGTGGCAATGCTTCAACTAGTAGCTTCTAGCTACTAGTACTGTAGCGATGACCTCCACCTAGTAGTTTCTTGCTACTAGTAGCTATGCTGGAACATTGTGGATTTGTTTTGCTTTAAAACACGATTACGGAAACGATCGTGACAAGCTTGAGAGACTTTTCTATCCTAGGCAAGGGAGAAGGAAAGTGCTGGCATGGCCGAGGTGCATTTCGCTCCCAATGGCTTCACCTGTGACACTTGTGTGTTTCTCCTTTGCGTCTTTATCTTTGTTTTTCAAAGGCCTATATAGGTATAGCTACTAGCAGCGACCGAAGATTACTGGGAATCGTTTCACCTGTAATAACAAGAAGCTACCAAGCTTCTTAGTAGCAAATAGCTACTAGTATGTCTTTGAAGCTTCTTAGTAACTAGAAGCTACTAGGTTGGAGGCCATCGCTACTAGGAGCAAGGACGCGACTAGGAGGTCTTTGAAGCTGCTAGGAACAAGAGGAAAGGCCTTTACAGAAGCTTCTTTGTTCCTAGTAGGAAGGCCAGGAGCAGCGTCCGATCGCTCCTAGTAGCGATGCCAGGAGCTCCTAGTAGCTTCTTGTTACTAGTAGTGATGTCAGGAGCTAATAGCGATGCCCTTTGTTCCTAGTAGCTTCTTTGTTCCTTGCGCCTTTAAGTTTCCTCAAAAATCGAACCAAATCCAGCTCTCCGTCCAAACTAGCTAACTTGTCTATAGCTACCTCTCTTCTACCTCTTAGAGCCTACCCGCCCTACCCCCCCGCCTTTCCAAGGACTTCCGGCTTTTTAGGTGTTTGCAGGTTGACGTTCTGTCAGGGCTGTGTGGTGCGGATCGTGGAGGAGTTGGATCGCGCCAAGGAGTTGCAGGGTTCCCACTGGGTTCGCATCCCAGAGCACGAAGATCATCAGGCGCAAGAGTACTGAACGTCTCAGCTAGACAGCTAGACCTTAAGGCCTGTTTAGTGGTTGTACTTGTGGTAGCAGCCGCGGAAGGAGAAGTAGTACAGTATACTGTATTGATTGGTACAGCAGTAGTACGGTGAAAGTAGTATGTGATGTACACATCATATATCACTGTGGCAAGTGGGAGTCACCATGAAATAAGACAAGATCGAGAAGTCATTTGCTTTTTTGCTCAGCCACTTTCCAGTTGCGTCACGCGTCAAGCAAGTTTTGTGGGACAGCTTTATGCGGAGTTCGTTCCTCGCAGCTCTTCTCTGCTTCTCGAGCTTCAAGAAGCGGAACTACAGACTCCTTCAATTCAACAACATGGAATCTAGCAACGGCCTCCAACCTAGAAGTGATGGCCTCCAGGCGACTAGCGATGGCCTCCAACCAAATACTACAGACTCCTACACTTCAACACAACAGCTGAGTATCAGCGATACCTGGTATCATGAAAGGCCAGTCAACAGAATCTGACACAACATGTTGAAATAGTGCTTGACTTCCCATGGGAAATGCCAGTGCCTGAGGTTCTATGACACTGGCAATTTTTTATCCTCTTGGACAGGACATTTGGCGATGACTTTGCAACATCTCTCCTACGTCACAGTGCGTTCATTGCTTTAGCACCTGACATGAACACCTGCCTCTGTGGGTAGTAAAGACCTAAGCCCTTGAAGAATGCATTATGCTTTGTCACCGGTCACCTGCCCTCCACTGAGATGAGGTCGGTACTGGTACAAAATGATTGAACACAGACTGTCCAAACAAACAGCTGGGATAGGGTGATACACATTGATTCACGGAGGGTAAAGTAACAACTGGCCCGACAGAAGCAAACAGGTTGCACACTCCTTGAAAGACGTAGCAGCAGTAGCCGTAGCTTCGGGACCGCGATAAACCCATTGAAGGGTCTTTGCAGCCTCGGCTTTTGCGTTGACATTTTGCTTTTCGGCTTTGGGCTTTGACTGCTTGTTTCACTCCGGGCTAAGCATACCTTTTGCCCGTCGCTGACTTGTCTTGTGCTGAGCAACATTCACCTGGTGGGCTATTGAGTTGGCACCCAAAGAGAGTGCTATTAGGTTGGAGGCCATCGCTTCCAGGTTGGAGGCCATTGCTTGTAGGCTGGAGGCCATCGTTCTTAGGTTGGAGGCCATTGCTACTAGAAAGAAATGAAGAAGACAAGGAAACAAGTCCTAATATAGTTTGCCATTAGAAAGGACTGAGCAGCTTTCACCTGGTGGGCCATTGTGTTGACATTTTTGTTGCTGGTCATCCTGATCGTTATCGACGGTGACTTTTGCATCCGCTGCGCAACCCCTGTGCAAGCCTGGGCAAGGCTGCATAACGCTGCGCACGACAAACATCGTGCATTTCCATGAGCAATAAAGAGAGAGGGAGAGAGAGAGAGAGAGAGAGAAAGAAAGAAAGAAAGAAAGAAAGAAAGAAAGAAAGAAAGAAAAAGACAGACAGAAAGAAAATATATACAGAAACGAACAAGACAGAAAGGAAGCACGGAAGGAAGGAAAGAAAGGCCTGAAGGTCCAAAGAACAAATGAACAGAAACATATTAGTGGCAAATAAATAGAAGGAGAAAACATTATATACATAAGAAATGTTCCACCTTGCCTGGACTCGATAGAGGAACACTCCTTCAGAGGCCTATCATTTTCGTGCCCAGAGTCAGCGCACGACCTACTAGCGATGGCCTCCAACCTACTAGCATCCTTGCTCCTAGTAGCGATGCCCTTTGTTCCTAGTAGTTTCTTGTTCCTAGTAGTAAGGCCAGGAGCCCCTAGTAGCGTCCTTGCTCCTAGTAACGTAGGTTTCTCTGGGGAAAAATCGACCACTGAAGCCCTCGAGGTGTTGGAGTTGCCTCTCGAGGGCTGTCCGCGACATGCATTGTACCGTGGCAAGTCTTGAGGGCGTTTCCTTAACGGTTTTCGTTGCTCCTCCGGACAAAGAGCAAAGACAAAGACAAAGGACTCTTAAAAGATCAAGGCCATCGCTATTGGGTTCGAGGCCATTGTTATTACGGGGGAGGCCCTTATTTAATTTGCAGGTTGCAGAAAGCATGCCAGGAAGGACTGCAGCTCCTCCGATAGAACCTCCGACACTGTGACAGTAGCTTGGAGATGAGTGGAGGGATGGGCAAGCCAAAGGTTTCAGAGAATTCAAGCTGGACATCTTTGGCTTTCAGGAACCTAGTAGCGATGGCCTCCAACCTAGTAGTACCTAGTAGTGTCTACTTCCAATTGAAGTCCAGTTGATTAAATACACAATGCCAGTAGAACCGTAGAACTCCAGAAGTGAAAAAGCCTTCTAGCAAGAATGACTTCTTTAATTTGTCTTTTGGAGGTCAGGAACGAGTTGAATTTGTTTCAATGTAACTCCACGGAAGATGTCCGAGAGATTTTGAATCCAGCAATCCCTTAGTCCTTGCGAATGCCTTTGGCATTGCCTGCTATGTTTGCACCCGTTTTTCCGTTCGCTTTTCCGTTTCTTAGATCAAGGTGGATCTTTCCCGCCTGCTGGAGGGCAAGGAGACTGTGGAGAGCCAAAAGGTGACCAAGTTGTGATTCTGCACTTGTCGACTTGTGATTCTGCATTCCTACTAGGTTGGAGCCCATCGCTATTAGGTTGAAGGCAATCGCTTCTAGGTTGGAGGCCATCGCTTCTAGGTTGGTGGCCATCGTTAGTAGGGTGTTGGCCATCGCTTGTCGGTTGGAGGCCGTTCCTATTAGGCTTTCTGATTGTAGAAACGCTTCAAATTGGCTTTCTGAATTTTTCTCTTCCAGGTCTTGGAGCCATGTGCTCGGAGCCCTACGTTGAGGTGCGAAGTGGCTTTGCCAGTCTTACGTTCGCGGAGTAGATGGCTAAGTCGTTAAGTTTGGCAAGCCAAGATGATGCAAGTCCTCACATTGATTTGCCGGTCCAGGGCCATTTGTGTGTCGGCCGCGCATGGAGATTCGGTGCCTTGGAAGGGACTGGCTGAAGGAACGGGAATGACCTCTCCAAGTCCGTCGGATGGACCCTTGTATGGATACTCTATCAACCCTGAACCCTTCCAACCCACAAAGACATCCTAATGATTCAAATGAAGTGTCACAAGCGTCCCAGGTGTCACAAGAGCAAGCTTCACAGCACCAGCCAAGGAATCCACCACGATCAGTGTCACACCTCGAGAGGTGGAGGCAAGCTGAGATGCCGGGCTTCAGGCATTCCGTCACCACCGCTTTCCGGCTCAGGTGCCTGAAGCGTTGGATCCTGAGTACGTGGTCCAACAGTGGAATTTGTCGAATCCAATTTTGGAGCGAGGGGCGACATAAGTCCAAATGGGCGATGAATGGCAGGCCTGTACCTGACGAGCGGATGGCACGTGATGCAGAGGCCTTGAACAGGTTCTGATGAAACGAGTGCTAAGCAGTAAGACATCTTGTTGAGGCCACATCTCCTGTAAAAAGCGTGGAGGTGGGTTCGCCACACTTGACTTGAAAAAGAAAACGAATCTGAGTGCGTTTTGGAGCGGTACCATCGTCCAGGAAGTGGAGATTCAAAGCCCAGACCAGGACGGCTTGTTTGAAGCGCAGAACACTGGCCAATTCAGCACTTCTGCAATTTATGGCGTCAGTTATTGCCTTCACAATCTACAATGCATTTGCAATCGCGTGTGCTGAAAGTCATTTGCTCTTCTATCCAAAAAGCGAGATGTTTGAATATGGAAATATCGGTATTAGGTTGAAGAAGCGGGAACTATCCTGCGTCCTAAGTAGTAGCTACTTAAGCTACTAGCTACCTAGCTGCCCCCTTTTGTTCTTTACTGCTCATTTCTGAATGTGCTAAGAGTGAGTGCGTGCATATTGAGGACGTCCTGCGTGTCATCGCTGCCATGAGCGCAAGCAATGGAGAAGAAGTGCAGGTTCGGTGTGAACAGATGAAGCAGACAAATGTTTCAAGGTCTAAAGAAAGGAAAGTAATACAAATGCTTTGTCGTGCAAAGCATTCTTAGCAAAGCTGCGCTTGTGCTTGCAAGGCCGTGCTGGCACCGGCTGAGCTGGCCCTGCCAGTGGTGTCACCAGCAGCGCCTTTGCTCGAAGAGCAAGATTTGGAGGCGAAATGGAATTCAAAGAACAAGAGTGTTACATAGTGCTACTTTGCTCGTCTTAGGACTTGGCTTGGAACATGGACTCATATTTTACCATTCAATCAGTACTCAAGTCTCCCTAAACGTCTAGGAACCAAATCATCAGTGTGTGAGCTATCCTGCATCCATACTAGTAGCTTAAGTAGCTTGGAGCTATCTTTTCCCTTACTTAATTAAGTAGGCAGTCTCAGCTTGATTAAGGAGGCAGGGCCAAAAGAATTGTTTTTGGTTTCTTTAGAGCTTGATTTTTCCTCTTCAAGAGCTGCTAGGGTTAGTAGGCGGCCCCAGTCGGTACCGTTTCCTCTTAGCACCGCTGGATAGCGGTTTCAGGCAACCCAAAATACCATATATGCTATATTTTCAGAAAAATACATAAAACACGTATTTTTCTTTAGATATCTTCTTTAGACTGTATTTTAGATCCTTAGACACTTTAGACCTTCTCTTTTCGACTTTCAGGCCGAAGAGAAAGGCCGATGTTCCTCCAGATCCACCGAGGTGCAACGAACTTTGACCAAGCCAAATCTTTTGTTTCGTTTTTCTGTTTGTTGAGGGTTTTTGTTTTTCGTAATTCTATTTATACAATAAATGTCAGAAATCGACACATCAAAAGCCTCTCTGAGTGGATTTCAATTTTTGGACCAGGATGAGCCAGAGTGCGAAGCGTGCGAGGCACAAGATTGTAAGATGATTCTTTGGTGGAACGTTCTCAAATGCTTGCTGGTTCTGTTCCTTGGGTTTCCTTCAATTAGTCTGCAGGCCATCGCTATTAGATTCGGGGCCGTTGCTC